TAGTGCCATGTACTAGATATAAGCAAGTGTTGTAGCTGTTAGGAGAAATAAAGATACTGTATGTAGCAAGAGTGGATAAGGAGAAGGGGAGAATGACTAACTGCCTTATGTTGCTAGTGATATGTGTGCATAGTCTTTGACAGTTTGTTTAGCACTTTCTTTGACTGGTCACCATGAGGAACTTAGCTAGCAGCCATTTCTATATTAAAGTTAACTTAAGTACATGCCCAGCTACACAGCCAAGAATTTTAATTTGAATCATGACTGATATCAGTCATAATCAGCCTGATACATTCCTGCAGACATTGCACGTGTATACACGAAATTCATGTATTTACACGAAATTCATAATAAAAAGTATATACATGTATATACACGATAATGTAAAAGTAGCTACACGATAACGAAAATAATTAAACTAGACGAATTATTAATTAATTAAGGAAGCTACACCCACTCATCAGAAAGCATGGCAGTGACTGTGAAGTACACGTATGAAGAGTTTTTCCATTTGCCCTGCACCAGTGGAAAGGTTGTTCTCAAAAGCTGGCATAATACTGCAATCAAAGGAGGACTAGGCTAAGTAACAGTAGCATTTAGGAACTACTTACATTTAAGTGATAACTTGGAATTATGATTTTTGTTATTATTTACATTCAATTCATCATAATCGTTGATTATGTAACCTTTGTATCTTCTTTGAAATAAAGACTATATACATGAAAATTATTGCTCAATACAAGTAAATACATGACAACTTTGCCAAAGTAGATGTACATACATGATATACGAAATTTGAATACATGATGCAATATCTGCATTCCTGTGTCATGGATTTTGGGTAGCCTGCAAAGCAATGAGTCTAGTATGATACGAACATGATAATCATCCATGATATAACCATACTGGAGTACGGCCTTGGTTCAGCAAGAGTAATGGACATGATTCAACATTGATGCCAGTCAGGACTGTATCAAAAATAGTCATCAGGCTTGAATCATTGATTTTGAGTAGTGGCTTGTATCAGAGTTGATATTTCTTGTCCATATATGGAAAATTATTATCATTTATTGTGCTAAATAAGGCATGCTGGAATGTGCAAAAAATAACCATTAAAATGTATCAATAGCAGCATAAGGCTGTTAGACACTCTCCCCTCCTCCTTATCCACTTCTATGGGTAGGAATGGCAGAGAACTTTACTTTTACAGGTGAGTTCAGTGGTCCAGCAGTAGCAGCAGTTCTTACTGTTTAGATCATACTAGCTGTGATAGCTAATGGTGTGGTACTATCTATTGCACTCTATCAAAGGAAGTCCTGGAAAGAATCATCAACAATATTCTTCACTTCTCTCATACTGGCACATCTTGTATTGAATCTACTGTACCTTCCTTTCACTATCATTGCATTAGCTGCTGGTGAGTGGATCTTTGGTAGTACAGATGAGGAGAAGAGAGGGACATGTACCTTTGCTGCTTTTGTATATTCATGTTTTATATCTATCATATTTAATACACTAGCCACTATATTGTTTGATTGGTTTCTTTTTATTGTCAAACCACATCTTCACAAGCAGTTCATGAGACCCTGGGTAGCACTGACCCTTACCATTGCTATATGGATACTGTCTGCTGTATTTAGCTGTGGTCCATTTATTGGATTAAATGAATATGTTTATGATGAACAGTTTCTTGTATGCTACCAGCGGTTTAACAGCATGATGCAGTCTCATTATCATTTCTGTTTTCCTTCTGTGTGTTACAACTGCAATTATCATTGTGACATCATTATGGACCTTTTGTTTTACAAGAAGCTACTTCAAAGCTCAGTCAGTGATAGCAGGAGAGAGTGTGTATGCTCAAAGAAAGAA